TAAATTTAAGGTTTTGTTTTATTTTGTTCATAACATGGGGGAATTTATATCACATCATTACCATTTTTAATCTTGAGTAACACATTTTTTAAATGAATGTTTTTCAGTCTTGTGTAGCAAAAAAACAACAATAATAGCACAAAGTAACCGTGACAGATGATTAAGACCTTTAAACCGCCAAACTGAGACTGAAACTTTTATACCGTTTAATTTTAATATTAGGTTCTTCAAGTTAAACAACAACAAAAGTGTAATCCATTAAAATGTTCTCCCATTTGAACAAAAGAGAAAATTTTCAAATTTCTTACTTGGCTCCAAATACCTAAAGAACGTTTGCATTTTATTCCTATTTTGAAGACTGAAAGATTTAAAAGAAAAGAAAGTGAAATGAGGCAGTATAAAGCTGTTTATTGCTTGAACAACACAGAATGTCCAAATCCAAATGGTTCGAAAGTAGAAGTCGAATGTAAATATTAGCAGGTTTTGGTTAAGTTGATTACAAATTAAGTAAATTAAAGTAATTGTAAGCATTAATGGAAAGCATTAACGCAAAATAAAGTGATAAAAGAGTATATGTGTGCTGTATAACAACGATTCTCGTTCTAAGTACAAAACTGGTGAATTAAGTACAAAAAATTACTCTGGAATAACTCGTGAAATGTGTAAAGAAAAGAATTTAAAATTTAAAGAGTTATTCAACCTATTTTAGAAAATAGTTAAATAGAAATTGAAAAATAATATATGTTAGGGATCATGAAACCAGTAGCTACTGCAACTGCTGGCACTAATGCATACTGGTACTAATGAAGATAATCACTCGAGAAACATTAATGAAGTCTAAATGGTCGACAATTTTATCAATTTTCTAAATGATGTGTCAGAGCTAAATAGCTACTGCAACTGCTGGAACTAATGCATACTGGTACTAATGAAGATAAACATTCGAGAAACATTAATGAAGTCTAAATGGTCGACAATTTTATCAATTTTCTAAATGATGTGTTAGAGCTAAATAACTACTGCAAGTGCTGGCACTAATGCAGACTGGTACTAATGAAGATAATCATTCGAGAAACATTAATGAAGTCTAAATGGTCGACAATTTTATCAATTTTCTAAATGATGTGTTTGAGCTAAATAGCTACTGCAACTGCTGGCACTAATGCAGACTGGTACTAATGAAGATAATCATTCGAGAAACATTCGTGAAGTCTAAATTGATGACAATTTTATTAATTTTCCAAATAATGTGTTTGTCTCAAGAAATTAATCCCGATGATTGACCTATCGCAATTTTCGACTTTGCAATCGGGTAATCATATATTAAATTGAAAAAGTTACATTTGAAATGGTGCGTTTTAAATATGCTAATTTACTAATTCAGAAAATATAATTTAAATTATCTAAATCGTTTTAAATAGACATGAGATTTTATTTTTTGGCGATCAAAATAGTTTTTTTTGTCATCCTTAAAATATGACTATTAATATAAAGTTAGTAAAAGTGATCTAGGTTTCAACCACATTCCTGTTTTTGTGTTTCACTTTGGCTGGAAAACTAATCGCATAATTCGAGAAAACTTTGCTTGCAACTATAAGATATTTTAATTCAAAATAATATGTTACAAATATAATTTTAAATAAATATTACTTACTTTTATTATTTAATTTTAATTTGATAAAAGAATTTTGAGCAATATTTTTGCTTCGCGTTAAATTTTTACCAGTAAGATTTTATCAATGTCCGGGAAAAAAATTTCAAGTTGTGGAATTATAATCGCAGAATTAAAATAAAGCAGTTAACAGTTTATTCAACAACTACTTAATTATAAGCAGAAATAGTTGTCTATAATTTATGGTTAAACTTATTAACTAAAGCCATAACATGGCCGAATTTTAATGCTAGTAAATGAAACAAAAGGTGAAAAAATCATTTCAATTCTTTATGATTGCTACTCCGTACGTTTAGGTTATGCTTATAGTTTTTTAGCATATATTGCTTATAAATATTAAACTCTATTATATTCTAGAAAACACCAAACAAATGCATAGGTAGTTTAATTTTAAAAATAGTTATATGTATTGTAAAGAAAGAATATTATTTATTTATGAATATCATTAAATCATTAACTGACTTTATTTTGTTTTTCTTCCATATTTTATGAAATAATTTTTTGATGAAACTTTTTCACTTACAATTTTAGGTCACCTTTCTCATCTTCATCTTCGTCAAACAAATTCTTTTATTTACATCAGTTAGTCTTGAACAACTTTTTTTCAACTTCAAAAAATAACCTTCTCACACGAAATCCAAACGCAAAATGAACTCAATAATGATTTTCACTTATTGTTCAAATTAGTTTTCAACAATGGATACTCTTATAGCAAACATTATTTGTTTGTTTCAACTGTAATTGCTTAACTACATCTATTAGCATTGTTGAAACATTGCTGTACACAAAAAAACCCAACTTTATAGTCATTGTTAGAGAGTGACATTATTTAATTTTTTGAAAAACGGAATACATAATGAAAAATGATTTCCATAGATTTGATATTTAACTCTACACTATTAGCTCTTTACCAGGGGGTTCTACTAAATACATATTTTCAGATTCTTAGTAAAAATATAACTACATCTATTAGCTCTGTTGAAAGAGTTGTGTACACAAAAAGATAATTAAAAATTAACTTAATAGCCATTGATAAAGAGGGACTTTTTAAATTTTAGAAAAGGTAATGAATATTTAACATTTAGAAGCATTTACAGAACATTTTAGAAACATTTAATTCTATACAATAAGTACTTTATCACACTTTTTCACAAAATCCACCTAAAATATATACTTTTAAAATCTATGTAAAAATGTATACAATTTACAGATTCCATATTAACATAAATAATCTTCTGTAAAATATGAAATAAGGCAATCCTTCTAAATGTTAATTTGAGTTATTCTTTTTTTGTTTTACTTTAGGTGTGGTTTTTTAAAATAAATATTTATGGTATATTATGTGTTCTCCTCAGGAATAAAAAAATTAGAAAAGTGAGTCAACGGATTGCCCAAGACCAAACTAAAGGAAAACAGAGCTCTAGGGGATATGTGCTATCAGAATTCGAGAAATCAAAATATTTTAATTAGTTTCTACTTACCAATTTTTTTTTCAATAAATGAAAATATTTTTTTTCTTCAATAAATTCAAATAAATACAGCCACTTCAACTCCTGAGTTAAAGTTCTAATATGAAAGGGATGTTAAAACTTTCAAAATTTCCGAAAGTCTTATGTTTATAAAATTTGCTTTTGACCAGTCTCGATTTCCTCCAGCAATCAAACATATTATTTGCATTGCATGTATAGTAGTTGATTGAATAGCGATAGCATTTTACGGAACATTTTGTGTATTTTACTTATCAGCTTATGAATAAGTATAAAATTTACATTTGTTGTTACATTTGTGTGTTTATTTTATTCATAACACAAGAAATTTTTGTCACATGATTATCATTTTTCTTTTCATGGAACACATTTTTCTCATTGAATTTTATCTGTCTTACATCTCAGGAGTACCGCATCTATAATTCAAAGTAACCGTAACAGATGATTAAGACCAGAGATGCAGTTTTAGTCAGAAAGCCGTAACAAAACCATAATAACAAGCATAAACCATAACAGATGATTAAAATTGTACATTATTAGCCAAACAGAAACTAAAAATAGAGAAATATCAGTTATTTTATTTTAATAAGATACTTTTTTTTCATCCTTTTTAAAAGATTACCAACCACAGCATCTGATAAAATGTATTGCTAATACTTAATACACTATTATAGCTAAAATAGGGTTACGAAGAGAGTTGAAATAATTATTTTATTATTAAAAACTAATTGCTGCATAAAAAAAAATCCTAGTTATTTTTTTCAAGTGCAACTTGCTAAAGAATGTTAAAGATTTAAAGATAATTTTTCAATTATCTATTCAATAAAATTAGTTTAGATAAGAAAACATTACCTAAAAAAATTATTTTACGTCACTCTGGGTGAAACAAATCTTTCTCCATTATTGATACTATAATAATTACATTATACATGCATTATTTTATACTAACTTTATAATTAATATTATATATTAATGACCTATACTAATAAAATAATTTATAAGTTTGAAAAACACTGTATGTTAATAAACATAAAACTGAATGGTTGTAATTAAAATAAGGTTTTTTTACCAGCAAATTAATTTTACATTGATTTAATAGAAATTTATAATTTAAAAATTTCACACTCTCTTTATCCACGTTTAGTCCCCTTTCATTATTCTTTAGTACGAAACCTGCATTTTCAATAAAATCTGAGTTTAAAAAAATATACACATTATAGAACGAATTTATTAATTTATATGGTATGGAAATATACTAGACTAAATAAAACTTTAAAAAAAGATAAATTAGTGAAAATTAATGATTTCTTTTTTAAAAAAATACAGATGATTTAAAGCAATGATTTTTTTTTAAAAAGAAAATCATGTCATTCAAATCGCGATTGTCATTATGATTTGAATCAAGTTATTTAAATCACGCCATACCGGAATATAATAATAATTAACTATGAAATTAATAATAAAATACAAATATTTAAATACAACGAACGTAAGCTTAGGAGTAAGAGGCGTGGGGAATGAGAATCTTTATTGTCAATAATAGAATGTCCGGGATTTTATACATTAGATTATTTCCCGTATAATAAAAAAAAGAGTTGCGCGTTTGATACGATAATAGAAAACGCAAACAATGTTTGTTTAATTATTTTTGAACTTTTCATATTCCACGGCTTTATAAATAAAAACGGTACAATTCAATCGAAAAATCTACAAAATTAAATATTTTTTTAGAAAAAATATGAGGTCAGTAACATATCTTTGACCCGAGCACAATCAACTTTTTTCATTGTTCACAATTTTTGCGTCGAAAAGGAACTTGGTTCTTTGTTGATTAACACGCATGTTTTTGCGTGTTGTGTCTATAAATGCTGAATGTATTCAACAGCATTATCACAAATATTCAAAAAATAACTATTCACAAGGTTTTAAAAAATTCACGATGAAATTTAAGGTAAGTTCTCAATTTTTTTATAGTTCTCTTGCAAGACCTAAACTGAACCATATTATAGCTTGCTGCATCCTTAACACGATGCTGAGGTAATATATGTATATATA